TTTAAGCCAATTTTGCATAAATTAAAAATTTCTGCCTAAATATATTCTAGCATTAGGTAATAATGGCACTGTTAAAAATGGGGAAAAAAAATAGGAAAAATATATTTCTTGAAATATACACTATTGGCAAAAACGTTTTTTTTTGTTTTTTTTAATAACATTTTTTTTTTTTTTTTTAAATATATCTAACTTTTTATTTATTTATTTTATAATATTAACAAAAAGAATTGTTTTACTACGATTTAAATTTATACATTTAAAATTTATGAAAAACAATTATAATAAAATCAAATGTTTACTAGAGACATGAGGACATTTTTTTGTCAACCTTTTTCTGGTGTAACCAAGTCCACATAACACTTGATCAAAGTTTTTCCTTCCTTCTGTGTAGTCTCTTCAAATTATACAGCTACTGGGGTTTTATGAGTCAGTTGTTTGTTTGTTTTTTGTTTTTTTTTTTTTTTTTTTTTTTTTTTTTTGCTTTTGGTGGGGGGGATTCGCTTCTGCCATTTTTACTGTTCACTGCTCTAGCTAGAGATGTAATGAGGGACAATCTGAAAGTAATACTAGAAAAATATATTCCATGGAAAGTACACCTACTGGGAGCATAACGACACCTTTATTAGATAGATCGGGGTTCTAGCAATAACACTATTCTTTTCATACAGTCATCACCATTGGTTATGTATTCTCTCGAACTAGTAATAAACAAGAGACTGCAAGTTGCACTCGTAAAAAAAATTTGCACCAGTTTATCACGGCAATGATAACGGCGTCGTTGTCAGGAAAATGTCCGTGTTGTCCATCTTTCATCGGACCGAACAGATCAAAGTCGGAAGGTGCCAAATCCAGACAAGAGGCTGGGTGTGGTGGGAGAGTTAAGCCAAAATTTGTAACGAGATCCATGGTTTTCAAACTAGTGTAAGGACCAGCGTGATCATGTTGCAGATTTATGGATTATTGGCGGGCAAGTTCGACTTACACTTCTGTAATGCCGATATTATAGAATAGGAGGTATTATTTTTGGAGCGGCTCTCGTAGATATGAACGTGGAGATGCTGAAAAAAATCACAATCCTACAAAGAATCTGACGTTTGCTTATTTGGTCAGATTTTTAGAGAACTTTTCTCAAAACACTTTCTCGTGTGTATGTTAGTAATTTTTTGAAAGGAGGTTTTATCCGATATTTCTTATTAAATTTTTTTTTTTTAGTGAGTACACGTGTTGTTACGTTTTTTTTTTTGTTTTGTTTTTTTAATATTATTAAACAGTGAAATTAATAACTGGTTTAAATTGAGAAGTCATACAAGAAGAAAAATTGTACTGTAGTATGCAGTTTTAGATATTCATCAGGCTTAAGTTAAAGTAAGAGACAAAAAAATATTGATACAAAATGGTGTCAAAGAAAAATGATTAAAAAAGAAAAAAAGATTGCAAAATTAATTACAGGCCCACTTGCGACCTACCGGTCATAACTAATTGGGGTCGTAAATCGTTGACGACCTCTCTCTCATATATATATATATATATATATATATATATGCGCCCCTGTGCAAATTAATTGAAGCAACTACTATAGTTTCCTTTCTTTCAACATGCAGTCGATTTTAGACCCACTGGAGTAACAGGGTGTAATAGATTCCTATTTTTTCCTCAGATTAAGCTATTTGCAGTGGTGTCCAGTAATATGAATCTATTTTCGGGGTGTATGTATGATGACATTTGTTTGGCCTTGAAAAATATTATGTCATCCGTGATTGCATCCGATTTTCATCATGCCCATCCACTATTGTCTCTGCTGTCGATTAGTTGTTCTACGACCATTGCCTACGATGGACGTTACTCCAAAGAAGCATACGAAAATTATAACACTGCAACAAACACTATGGCAATCCCTACCAATGAGCAAAGTAGTATAGACTGGCTCAGAAACTCTCCTAATTTAAATCCAGTTGAGAATCTGTGGTCAATCTGCAAGGAACGAATGGACATACGAAGTACTAACATGTGCACTGGGGTATGTTTCATTGGGAAAATACAAAAAACAAGTAAATAACGTAATTATTTGTTTTGTTTCAATTAATTTGCATAAGTGTGTGTATATATATATATATATATATATATATATATATATATATATATATATATATATATATATGAGGAGGCACACGACAGTAATGGATAGCAGCTTGGACTGAGGAATCTGAGAGTAGAGTTTGAATTCCAGTCAAATCCATTACATTCACTTACATGCTAATACCCTTAGTACATAGTAATCTATTTCTTCATTTGGCAATTCAACACACTTTCTATAATTGTTTCTCCAATGTCCTTAATCCTTTAAAATTAAAGTACTCATGTTGGATCTTTTATGGGAAAATAAATTGCATTTAAAACTCTTTATACCCCACTTTAAATAAAACTTGAAATAAAGGCCATTTTGAACCTTCAAGATGTCATAGCTTCACTCAGATGCAATTTTATTAGTCAAAGAAAACATCATTAGAATGAATGTAATGAGCTGTTTTGGAATTTATTTCATCATGAATAACAAAATGAAAAAAGTTGGTCATAGGGGTGATTTGACAGCCAGCCAGAAGACATTTTCAACTTATTGTTCATATTAGTGTCCACAGTGCACACATGTAGGCATCTCCACCAATTTGCTGAAAAAAGAGCATACCATAATGAAAAAAAAATTTTTTGTGAACAAAATGTTTGTTATTATTAAGAAGAAACACCAAAGTATTTTTTCATTATTTTAAATTTTTTCTTCTTCCTTAGAATATTTGAAATTTTAATAGATAGGGAAAAAAAAGTATTTTTACCATGACTTTCTAAAAAAACAAAAAACATATCTAAAATAATTTCATTTATTTGTGAATAAGTTCTGAAAGTTTCATTAGAATCTGACAATTATTTGATTTTTGCAAAAATTTCAGAAACAATGTGTTTTTAACACCAAAAAAAGATGCTAAATTTCCTAATATTAATCTTTGGCAGACACACTGACATAAAAAAAGAAAAGATTTTTAACCAAAATTTTGAACATGCTAGAAAGGATGAAAAAATTTAATAAAATAATCAAAACATACTTTGGTCTTTCCTCTTAATAATAACATAAACATTTTGACAATAAAACTATGTTTCCATTAAGTTTGGAGCATTTTTCATCATGGTATACTGATTTTTTATGGAGATACCTACATAAATGCATTAAAAGGCCTGTTGGTCCGGTGAATAGAGAGAGTTAAGCAAGACCTCAGTGCCTAACTCTGTTATTTTTTTGTCAGCTTGTTTGTAAGGTCTTACGTAAACCTGCAATGGGACCATCTTTTTTTTTTTATTCACCAGTGTTGGCCAAAATCCTTGCCATTGGTGATGCTTCAGTTCCATGTCATTGACTTTTGAGAAACAAAAGTTTTTCTGGAATTAAATTCTTTAATTCATTTAAATTTTTCTTAAATTAATTAATACAACATCAGATTAATCAGTGCCTTCATCAAATTATTCTGAGAGAAAACCCGTGCCAGATCAAACTGACAGCTTAATTAGAATTAAATGGGAGGTGGTTGATCAATGATCAATGCCTGAAGGCAATTGGTTGGTGATGACGTATCAGAAATATGTACAATTTCAGAACTGCCTGTCATGTTACCAAAGTGGAACTAGAAGCATATGAAGTTGTATCCAGTTGTGGGGGAGTGGATTGGTTCAGCTGGAAAAGAGCTCTTATGTTGTCACCCCCCGCCCAAACCGCCAATGATCCTGTTTTTAAAACATCTGTGAAAACCTCTATCCATGACATCAGTATTATGCTAACTTTGAAATGTTGTCTAAAACAAAAGCACTGTTTAGTTCATATGTTATTTTAATATAGTTATATAATATAAAGAATAAAATACAGAAGTATTTTTATAAAAATTTTATAAAATATTAAAATATTTTTATAAAAATAAATATTAAAATATTCAAATTATTAAAATACTATAAATAAAATATAAAAAATATATATAGTTATATAAAAAAAAAATCGTAATATAAATATACTTGATATAGAAAAATAATTTTACTGACTGTAAGTAACTCTATTTACTTCTATTAAATGAAATATAGTCTATAAAAACTACTAATGAAAATATTTTAAAGTTGTAATTAAAATTGTAGTACATTAAAATGAATTCTAACCTAAACTTCTTTTAAACTGTAATTAAATAAATAAATAAAGTTTACTAAATCAGGGAAATGAAAATTTTACTTTAGTAATATTTAAATATAAAATTTTAAAAATCGTAATATACTTGATGTGACAATAATTAAGGCTTCTACCTGTAAAGGCTTCTAACTACATTTAAATTGTAAAGGCTTCTAACTACATTTAAATTGTTCTTGAAAGAATTATAGTATAATAAAATTAAAAGTAAAAATATTTCAAATCGTAGTTAAATAAAAAGTATTCTTACCTAAATACCCCCCAAAAGAAATCTTTAAATATACGTAGAAAAAAATGCCATAAGAATTTTAGCCGTTAACAATATATATTTTTTTTAAAAATCCAGACGACACGCTTTTAATAGATGTTAGATTTCATTGAAAAATACATCCCTACCCACTACCAAAAGTAGCAAAATATAGACATATTGAACACCTAGACACCCCTGTCTAGAAAAATAGATTTATCTGTAACCTTGGAAACATGAATTTTGTTTTAGCTGTGTATTTAAAACCAAGTAATTTTAAAAGTTACTCCAAAATTCGCTTGAGGATGAAATGGAACTAATGTCTTTAATTTAATTACAAAATTAAATTCGGGGCTTTTAGCTTCCATTTTTGAAACATGGTTAGAACTGTGTAGCGGAAAAAAACATATTTTAAATCAATTAATTTATAATATAGTTATATAATATATATGTTATAATATATGAACAGTTATATGAACTATGTTGTCTGAAACAAGAACACTATTTACGTTATATACGTTTTCATTGTTGTTTCTGATTATGACATGTATTATTCTTGTTATTGTTTACATAGTTTTTTTTAGTTTTTTTCCATATGTATTTATATTGACTGACTTGTTTCATTTCTTTAAATCCAGAAACAGCACCTGGGAAGCCATTCACAGTTTTGGCACAAGTATTGTATATGTATGGAGTCTTCTACCAAAGGAGGGTTTCCATGATGAAGATGACATCTATGTTACCAGTTCTCCACGGGTAAGCAGGTTTTGTCAAAAGAAGGCTTCTGACTTTGTATTTTTTAATTAGTTATTTCTTACCTGGATAAAACATAACTATCTCATTTTGTATCTGCAGAATCTATATAATTATTTGCAAATAAATAAGGAAACTATAAATATAATTTAAATATTCTTAGATATATTTCCCTCCAGAAATTGGAGTGAGTGTTAATGCAGACCCCACACTGCTCGGTTGCATATTGAATTGAAAATTGTCAAGTTAGTGCAATATTGTTAAAATGCTCTAATAGAAATTTTGCTGCAATACGTTGATTTTCCTTCTTTACGATAACAAATATAGTCATACAGAAATTTTGTAGATGTTGTAAATAAGGTAAACTTCTATAATTTCAAGTTTGAGTCAGGCTCATTACAATCACTTATATGTAAATACTCTTGGTAAAAGTATGAATCCATATCTCCACCCTTCATTTATGAGTTAAATAGCAGGACAGACTGGGTCCTATCACAGAAAGAAATGGAAACTTCCTGTGAGAAAATGTTCTGCCTAGTTAGTCATAAATTGAAAGATAGAGCATTTTAATGGTGTTGGGCTGATAAGAATCTTGCTACAATGTGCCATTTTTGTTGTGTTAATACACATAAATCTGAACTTTCATCCACTATAATGATTTCTTATATAGTTACCAGTTGTCCCAGGTGTGTGTGTGTGTATGTATATATATATATATATATATATATATATATATATATGTGTGTAAAAAGCACAAACAGTAAAAGTGAGCTCAATGTAAATTAAAATAAAGTGCCTAAAATTTGATATAAAAAACTACCTCTTCACTACTGTCAGTTTCATACATTTTTTTGTATTCTCCAGGTAGCAAGAAGGAGCCATATTTAAAATATAAAATATGGTTCTTTCTTGCTACCCACATAAATGACTAGCATTGTAAGTCTTATGCTAACAGTTTCTTCTCTCACACTTCTTGCTTGTGGAACTCTCTTCTGGAATCTTACTTTCCAGTCAACTTTGATCTTCAAAAATTTAAATGCAATGCCAATTGTTATCTTCTGATTTTTTGGGGTTTTTTTTATTCCCGTTTTTTTATTTTTCTCTCTCCTTAATAATGTTTTTCTTTTTCACATATCCTTTAAGTCAGTAACCCTTTGCATCTTAGTGGCTTTATTACCTTGTTTGGGGTGAAATGATAAGTAGATATTGAAATGTACTGCAGATAATTTTAATGCTAGCGGTTTATGTCATCCATATCAGGAGTATGATTTATTTATTCAAACTACAAGGTTGCTGATGTGACCTTGTTTAAAGATTTTGCCATGCACTTTGAAACACGCCGACAGAGGGGCATGGATGCAAAGGAATGAGCTGAATTATGTTGTCTTTGAAGTTTCCATTGTGTTTATGTTCCAAGTCTATCATTAATTCCAGCAAATATTGAAGGGAAATCAGTTGATACATGAACAACTGTTATTAGATTTCCAATTTAATGGGACTTTCTGGTCTGTGGACCACGAAACATGCAAACAATGTTCATTTCTTTACAACTGTCTTGCTTTCTTGAAATGTACCATTGTTTATTTTATGGTACTTATAATTTATTTTCTAAGAATCCACATTTGTCAACAGCTTTTATTTCTCAAGTTGCAGGAGAATAGCTGTAATAAACACTGTTTAAAATAATAAAAAAAAATAGGCTTCTATTTCAAATCTCTGACAGAAGTTAGTGAAGGAAAGCAAGAAGAAAGGACTAAACATCAATTGCAAGAAGACAGAATGTATGGTTGTTAACAAAAGAAACAGCCCAAGATGCCAATTACAGATTGGACATACTGAAATCAAACAGGTGAACAATTTGGATATCTGAGAAGCGTATTAACAGAGGAGACAGCCAAATGTGCATTGGTAGCGAAAGATGCCTTTCAAAAGTTGAGCAAAGTATTAAAAAATACAAAAATATCACTAGAAACAAAGAAACTGAACAGTTATGTAGTATCTGTCCTTGTATATAGTAGTGAACACTAAACATTTCCTCACAGATTGAAGCAAAAGAAATGTTCTACAGAAGGATGCTGAGAATACCATGGACTGAACATGTATGCAGTGACAAAATTCTGCCGAAAATAGCAACAAAAAGGACACTTATACTTAACATCAGGAAGAGAGTTGAAACTTCTGGGGTACATAATGAGGAAAGAAGTCTGGGAAAATTTGATACTCATAGGAAAGATTAATGGTGAAAGAGAAAAAGAAAAGCCATTCACAGCCTATTTGGCAGGCTTGAGTGAATTGATGATGGATCAAGGTTTGGGGGAGATGGCAAAAAAGTTATTAAGAGTCTCAAAGGACAGGAGAGCCATGATCCCCAATGTCCTGAAGGTACATGGTATATAAAAGAAGGTATCCACTAAAATTAATGTTTGAAGAAATGAATTTATATTTATTTACTTACTTTATTTACTTTACTCGGAACTCTCAAATGAGCGTTTGAGAGATCCGTAAAGAAAATGTATTCTCCATCAGGAGCTGAGCCTGATACCTCCTTTATAGAGAAAATCCACTCTTTATTCCTGATCTATCATGCTTTGCTGCTCCACCATGAAGAACATGTCCATAAGCAATGCTCTATATTTCATTTTTAAGGAAAGCAAATTCCTTTTGGTCTGATTATCTACTCAGTTTTGTGTCTAAAAGGTAAACAAAGCAATTTCTAAAGACATTAGGTTTATAATACCCAGAAATTCATACACAGATGTCCTCAAGGACACATGGCACAGTGGATAAAGGTGTTGGTTAAATCCAATGACACAAAGCGTGTGAGTACAATACCTGGTTAAGGCAGTGGAGAACTTTCAGAGGGAAATTAACAGGAGATAACTGATAACTGACATCCATTAAACATGGTACGTGGAACTAGAGCAATCTACCCCAGTGAGCAAAATAAAGGATTCAGTTCGACATTCCAACCACCTGAAGAAAGCCGGAGTGTACAACAGCCGAAATATGCATATGACAAATATGAGGACAATAGTCCGAATAATGTAAATAATGTACATAATACCTCATCTCAGAAATTTCTAAAGAGTTAATGGATTTATTTTTAATCTGATGTTTTGTTACTTCAAACATAGTGAATACTCGTATTGAAATAGACGCCCCTCCCCACCATTTATTTAATAAATTTCACCCCAAGCAAGGTGACAATGCAACTAGAACACAGGGGTTTACATGGAGTGAAAGAGCAAAAGCTACACTTAATATGACATCCAATCAGAACTCCAAAATGCCATATACTGACCTAAAACATAAAATCAAGAAAATAATGATGCAAAAATGGCAACAACTATGGGACAAAAATACCCGCAAGAAGCTCTACCAAATAGAACCAACTTTAAAAGAAAGGAAACTGAAACTTAATACTACAAGAAGAGAAGAAACCACTCTTACTCGGCTACGCATTGGATACACTAGACTGACTCACTCCTTCATACTAGAAAGGGAGCCTCCTCCTAAATGTCCCCATGAAAATCAATACACAGTAAAACATATACTGATAGAATGCACAAACCTTACACACATTCGAAAGAAAGTTCTACAATATTAAAAGTACAAAGGAACTATTTAGAAAAATTGATCCAGGTCATATAATAAACTTCCCAAAAAGAATTGGTGTTTTATCACGAATGTAGTCTGATGTGTAATTAATATATGCTACCTTTTAACATTGTGTAAATAAAATTGTCTATACTAAATGGAAATCCTTGTCCTAGACGGTAATACCTGGAATTATTTTGCAGTGTGCAAGCAAATAAGCTCTAGCTTATATAGTTTATAGACGTTTACAAATCCTATATATATTTAATATAATAAATTAAACTTAATATATAAACTAAATTTGGCATTAAATGACCTACGGTGGTTAATATGCCATAAAACCCAACCAACCAGGGAGTGAAAGAGAATGAGAAGACTGAAAATGGGGAGAGCTGAGGAAAGGGTAAAGCAAAAACACCTCGGAGAGGGGTACAGATACTACACTTTGATCCTAACTGAAAGGTTGGTTAAATGTGAACTGTACCAATAGTTTTTGAATAATGACTGAAACAAATTTAAGAAGGTTTAAAAAAAATTTTTTTTTTTTTTTTAATCATTTCACCCCAAGCAAGATGACAATGCAGCCAGAACACTGGGGTTTACAGGGAGTAAAGAAAAATTAGAAGAAGACAAAAAAGGAACAGGTTTCAAGAAGACAGAAGATGGTGACTGATGTTGCATTTGAATTTTTGAAGATTGTAATTATCGGGGAAGCAAGAAATCGAAAGGGAGTTCTACAGGTGGGAAGTGTGAGAAAAGAAACTGTTAGAGTAGAAGTTGCTGGTGCATCTAGCAAAGTTCAAGAGTAAAACAATGAGACCTAGTTGCCAATCTAGTAGCACACTTAAATTTATATAGTTAGGGTACCAGTGAAAGAAGCTAGTGAGAACAGTTGCCATGAAAATATTTGTAGAAAAGACAGAAGCCACATCAAGTCGGTGAGAAAGTGACAGAAGTTATGATGTCTGGTCAGGATCAGTTACATTACAGATCCTTCTTTGGATTTTGTCAAGAATCTCAATGTGTACAGCAATGTGTACCAGACCAGATATGGCAGCAGTATTCAATGCATGGATGAATGATAAATTTATAAATGTGCAAGAACACAGTGAACCAACTTTCCTTGCAGGAGACGAAGTAACTGATTCAATATAGTTGCTCCACTTTGTGTCAGTCAAAAACGTGAGGTCAAGAAGGTATGGCATGTTGCTTTCCTGATGGCAGGCAGGAAAGTTATCTGTGGTGATTAAATGAAAGCAATTTTGTTTTGAAGCCATTTCTTGCCCCAGATAACCACTGAATGGAGGTCCTTTTCAAGAGCAGTTGCCAAGTTTACAAAGAAAAAAAAGAAAATATATTTTGACAAAGATTTTCTAAAAAAAAAGAAATGTTTCTAAATTAGTTTAATTCATTTGTGAATAAGTTCTGAAAGCTTCATTACAATACGACAATTACTTGATTTTTGCAAGAATTTCCAAATTGATGTTTTTCACTGCAAAAAGATGATAAAATTTCCTTTACTTTATGATGATCCCATTGATGTAAAAAAAAAAAAAAAGCAAAATTTTGAATGCTCTAAAAAAGAATTAACAAATATAATTTAATAATCAAAAAAAATCATTTGGTTCACTTTCTGACCATGAAACCCAGGTTCAAATCTCACCGTGGTCAATTTTTCAAGGAGGTGACTTCTTGATGTTATCAGTCTGGGGGAATTGATCTCGGCATGTGGGCCCCTTTGGAAAGTGCTTGAAACCATACCACAAGTTGATCCAAGCCTTGAGAATGAAATTGGGTAGATGGAACCATTTGGGAGTCATTGATGGTTGTGCTAGCACAAAGTCACAAGTCATCGTGACTGAGGGTTTGAGCATACTGGCCTTGTCCAGATGTTGATCATGCCAGATAATGCACACTCTCCCAGAAACTGTAACTAAGCTCTGTTCATCTTAGTTGCAGTATAAGCTATAGGTAGGCTCTGGGTGTTGAACAAATATTCCTGAGCAGGCATCTGTTACAGGGATTAGTTAGCCGCCCTAGTAGATGGGCGTCCTCAGATACAAGTGGCCAACGATCCATATATGTACATATCTTGAGTAGAAATGTTCTGTCATGAATAGGGTAGAGTTTCCTAAGTTATCAGAGAAGCTGCTATGTTTGATAGAAGAAAAAAACAAACTTGGATCTCTTTGGAAGTTGGTTAAATCTATATGGAGTTATCAAGAACTATCATGTTGAGCTTGACCCTGACATTTCTTGGGTAGGGAAGTTGGCAAATGACACCCTCACCCATCTTCCAGCAGGATGATGAGTATTGAATTTCAATGATGTAGTTAAAGGGTTGGGTAGGTGGGGTGGCATTTGTAACTGGAAAGAGTAAAGAGATTCCAAGAAAAAGGGAAGCAGAAAAAGACATGAATTGGGGATTATCAGAGAAAATCAATTCCAAATAAAAATGTGCAGAAGAATTCTAAGCCCTAGTGCAAGGGTCGTATGTACCCACTCCCCTGTAACACAGAACCCACCAAAATGCTGGAGGTGGTAGGAAGATTAAAAAATGTTTTGATTTGGTGGTTGTAAAGTCTTCAGCAAATAAGGAAGATATCAATATTTTCTGAGCTGAACTTACGCTTACAACCATATCACATTGAAACACCAGTTCTCATACAATCATTGAAGTTAAGCAAAGTTGTGCCTAATCAGCACCTAGATGGGTGACTGCATGGGAATACCAAATACTGTAAGCTTGTTTGTGTGTTGTGGTAATAGATAATGGTTCAGAATTGGAAATCAGAGAGCCGAGTTCAAATTCCAGTTGGGTTTGTTATATTCACTTACATGTAGATAGTCTTGGTAAAGGTATTAATCTACCTCTTCTCCCTCTAGCTATGGGTTAATTAGTGGGTTATATCATTATCATCTCTGAAAAGATTCTTATCTACAAAATATTTTCTGGCTTTAAATAACCTGCAAAAGGTTGATAAATTGTAAAATACAAATCAGTCCATCAAAATACCAATTAAATAAACATAAATAATTTTAAAATATGGTATAATAAATGAAAATTATTTATGTTTATTTAATTGATTCTGTTAATTTACAAGATCAGAAAAAATTAAGGGAAATACATATCTAATTTAAAGCTAAAATAAATATATAAAATGTAATTCTTTTGATTCATTTTCAAACTGTGTTTTTACGCATTCAGTTTAACAATGCAAAATCAAATCAAACACATCTGGCAGATCGACATACTCATGTCAGCCGATTTTAATTGTGCAGAATCATGTGAGTTGCCTGATTAAAGAGTTACAACCTGGACTAAAGTCAGCTGTATAATTTAAACTAAAAGAAAGTTTCAATGATAAGAGAAGGTCAGAGTTGGCAAAGAAGGGAGAAAACTCTTAGGGTGGACACCCATGTCCTGGATAAGATAGATTGATAATATTCGGAAAAGTAGGGAGGGGGTTTTCAGGTGAAGCATTTGTTGATAAAGAATTTCTGGTTACTGAGAAATGGCAGTTAGTCGGAATAGCTAGAATGTGAACTAATTGAGTTACTGGCAGCAGATAGCTTTTCCTTCTATTGGCTTTGATTTCACTGTTAAATATATAAATTTACTACCACCATTTCTACACATACACATACTTGAGAACACACTTTGTTCTCCAGCTTAATAAGAATTTGAACTTCTGTTTCTGTCTACATCCATGGAAAATTGCACATACTCTCTCTGAGGTAGTTTATCTGTGTGTATATGTATATATATATATATATATATATATATATATATATATATATATATATATATATATATATATAATCATAGTGTAGAACGAGCAGTAGGATTACGGTGTTCACAACATTAATTTAAAAATAGTGCTCAATACACAAAGTAGAGCCATAAATATTTATTTATCTTATGCAGTGTTACATTAGAATATGTGCATATTCTAATGTAACACTGCATAAGATAAATATATATATATATATATATATATATATATATGCAATTTTTATATATATTACTTATATGTGTGGTACTTATTGAAAAGCACTCAATATCAATGATAGATCTAACACATTTAGTTGCATTGATGTGAGTTTGTGACCCTGGGTTTCATGCCCTTTGTGATCGTCATACAAAATATAGGCAACTAAATATATGTGCAGCAACGTTACTTTCAAACATATTTCATTGAATATGACAAGGAAAATTTGTTGAATTTATTTAGTTATTCTAATATTCTTACATTTTCCTACTTTGTGGAAGTAAGGGAGTGTAAAAACTGTCTGTAGTGTCTATTGTCCCAAGAGCTTTTATCCACTTCCTTAGTCATTTTTAAAGGACATGTTAACTTCTTTCATATTTGTCTGTTTAAGATGTGGTTTTCTGATGCTTAAATAGTAGTAGTAGTATTTGTTATTATTAAGAGGAAAGACCAAAGTATTTTTTATTTTATTAAATTTTTAAGCACATTTAAAATTTTGGTAAAAATCTTGTATTTTCTTGGCCCAATGATTTTTAGTGTCTTTTTTGGTGTTAAAACACTTTGTTTTGGAAATACTTGCAAAAATGAAATAATTATTGGATTTTAATGAATTTTTCAGGACTAAATCACAAATGAATGAAACTATTTTTTAATTTTTTTTAGAAAATCTTGGTAACAATATTTTTATTTCTTGATTTTTTTATTTTTTTTATTTTTATTTTTATTTTTTTTTATATGTGTTACTCCAATTTACTTGATTTTATGAAATTTCAAGAATTTAAAATACCAGCCTCTTCATATTTATATTAGTTAAAAATTTAAATCATCAATGTTTTTGTCAGAAACTATTTACTGAAAATCTGCCTGTAATTGCTTTTATAAATAATATAAAGGACAGTATTGTCTTAAGAAACTTTTTTTTCAATGAATAATGAATTTTTACAAGAATTGTTATCATTTTTTTTTAAATTTAGATAAAAAAAAAGTTTTAAATCTTAAAATTCTTTATTAATTTTAACCTTTTTAGATATTATTAAATGAAAACTATATTTACTAATCATGAATAGAAAAGCTTAATACAAATCCTTAAATGCAAATATTTTTAAAAGAATTTTGAATTTTTTTTTTTTTTTTTTTGTATAAATGTGCTGATTTTTGTAAGTACAGGTGACCATACACAACATTATCAGAAAATAAGAGTGATAACTATATTAAATTAAAGCCAACATTTCTAAAATTCAATAAAACATTAGATTACAGAAAATATTTTCCTAAATTTTTAAGCTTATTGAGTACTTAAAAATTATATAAAAAAAGTGTTTGCATTATTTTTTTTTTTTTAAATTATGTTTTACAGATAAAGTCTCTGTAGAACAACATTAGATCTGTTATCAGGCTGTTAACATGTCAAGACAGTTACTGTCTGGTTAAAAACATGGCTAATGTCTGGTTAAAAACATGGCTAATGTCTGGTTAAAAACACAGTTACTGTCTGGTTAAAAACACAGTTACTGTCTGGTTAAAAACATGGCTAATGTCTGGTTAAAAATGCATTTCTGTGATATTTAAACTTAATAATATTTGTTTTAAATCAGATTAATTATACATTAAATCAGGTAATATTCCTCAAATAAAGTTTCATAAAAGTATATTTTATTTTAGGAAGATTTTTTAAAGAGAATTACATTGTAATGGAAGATGAATAAAATAGGTGCTAATCAGCTATTTTTAGCAAACAAAAACAAAACTTCTTCCAATCAATTTAAATCTGTTTTTGAAATAGAGCAAATTATTTTTATTATTTGAAATATTAAATTTAATCTATTAGCTTGAAATTAAAAATAAAATAAAAGCTTCAAGAATGATTTTTCATTTTATGTATTATGTACCATGTTTTTTTTTTTTTTGTGAAGGTCTTTAATATAATAAGGTGGACTTTCCAGTTTTTGTTTTCAATGTATGAGGGGCCAGCAACTCAGTCTTTAGAAACAAACATCCAGACTACCTGTTCATATGATTTGATTGTGATGAAGGCTTGTGCAGAACCAATGATACTTTTTGAAAGAGTCAAATACAGAGAACTGCTACATATAGTGTGCCATAAGGTCCCCCAGAAGGGCTCTCCTCAGGTTTTAAATTCAGAGTTGCCCTTCTCCTAGTTACCACCCAAGGATGTAAGACCCAGGCTGTTCTGCTATTTACCCATAGTTGGAAGAGAATAGATGGATTCACACCTTTCCCAAGGGTATATGCATATAAACTTGAATGTAACAAACTCAAACAGAATTTGAACTTGGATCTCAGAGTCCTCAATTTGGTTGGTTGGCATATCAACACCACTATGGGTCATTTAATGCCGAAATCTAAATATTTTTAACACAATTTTATGGCTTCAACTACAGATAAAATATATTGCCAGTCATTTTGATTTAAAATATATTATTGGTGAATTCTATAATACATATCACTGGTCATTTTGCTTTAAAAATGTATTGTTTTTTTTTTATTATATAAAAATTTATTGCTATAGAAATTTACTATAGAAATCTTCTTTTTTTTTTTTACTTTCATAGTGATTTGTTTTTATTTGAGGGTTCACTATATGCCCATAGCTGAGACCCCTAACAGGTGCTACCACACCTAGTCATTGTAGATCTGGAAACAACAGCAATTAAGAGGTTCCTCAATTTGAGTTGCTATCTATTACTGCTCTGTGTCTCGATATATACACACACACACACATGTAATTTTTGCCTGGTTAATCATGTTTTTTATAATGCCTGTTTTGTACCCATGATAGCATTTTTATAATTAAGACACATTTACTGGGGTATTTTTATGTATTGAAGTGATAAAATCATTAGCATCTGCCAGAATGGCAAGGAAAGGGATTCTATTTACTGAATTATTTTTAAGAATTAGTTGTTTTGGATATTGATCCAAATAAATACCTTAGAATAATCATTTATTATTAAAAAAAAAAAAAAAAAAAAGAAAAGTGACTGAGTGTAAAAGTATCTGAGGAACAAACTTTATTAAAGAGAGAAGATAATAAAGGAATGGGAATTAAGAAGACAGAAGATGACCCATAACATTACAATTACATTTTTGAAGATCAAAGTTGATTGAAAAGCCAAAAGAAAAGTTCCACAAGTGAAAAGTAGGAGAGAAGAAACTTTTAGCTTAGAACTTATGCTTATGTCCATCAATTTGAACAGTAAAATGATGAGACCCAGTATTGTGCTTAAATTCATAGTAAAGTTGAGATATCAAAGAGGAAAGCTCATTTGAACAATTACCATGAAAAGTTTTATAGAAAAGTCACAGGGAAGCTATGTTTATAGTGCTGAGAAAATAACTGAAGCAGAGATGCCAGATCAGTACTGATAATAGTACAAGTAGTACCTATAAATCTTTGACAGTTTCACTATTTGAATTCTCTGATGAATCAAAATTCTTTCATGGTTGAATAAGCTCCTTACAAGTTATACACCTATAAAATACCTGTGGATTGTTGAATATTTGAGCTTAACAACTTTAACAAAATATTGCAATAACAATCGTAAGCTGTCCTGGGTATGACGATAAACTACATCCGCATCCTGGGTAAGACGATAAACTACGTCCAACAGCAATGCCTCTGACCACGAGGTTTTGAGGAGTGTGGAGCCACCTCTTAATTGCTGGTGTTCCTTGGTCCACCCTGACCCGGGTGGTAGCACCTGTTAGGGTCCCAGCTATGGGCAAATAGTTAACTGGGATCAAAACACAATGAAAGTGTAAAAATAGTTTTTAATACCAGGAATACGTTGTAAAAAAAATATTATCAGCTATACATTATTGAAGGAAAAAAAAATATTACCATAGATACATTTTTGAAGTAAAAAAATATTACCAGGAATAGATTTTTGAAGGAAAATATATTACCAGCAATAAAAATTTTGTCGGCATTAAATAACCCATTGAGGTGTTGATATGCCGTAGACCAATCCAAACAATCATAAATATGAATGCAGGTCATTGTTTGAAGAAATAAGCAGATAGAAATGAGAATATTTGAAATTGACAAGTTTTTCCATTTCACTGAAGCAGTGTGTTATAGCATCTTTTTCGACTTTCAAACCAAACTGCATCTCGGTGTTTTCTCTTTTCCTCATGATCAAAATGGAAGAGTCCATTATTCATCTGTCATTTCTTTCTATTTATCTTTTTTCTCACAGAAGCCAAACATCTCTGATATGTTTTTTTCTGTCTTTCCTCACATGAGAAGCCTAATAATCTGTTATTTATGAAACCTGACAAGGGTTGAAATGTTCTAAAATCAACCTAACGTAACCATTATTTATGAGGTATTGGCAGAACATAAAGCATGTCCTAACTAAGGAACAATCAGAATTTAATATGATGTCCCAAGACCATTGGTAAGTTTCAAGGGTGAGGGGGAAGTGCCATGTCTGTTCAGGATGTAGGTGATCATGACTCTTGAGAAATTCCCTTTTCTTTTATTATCTGAATTGCCATTACTTAAAACTAATAGCCTATTTCATATGGTAGGCTGGATATTGCCACCCTCTGCCCTAGGCGACTTACTAAAAATAAAGTATTTTAATTCACTGATATTGTTGAAAAAAAAAAAAGCTTAGTTTTAACTTGTAGCACAGCTTGATCATTTCTATTTAATTTCTAAACTGATGTACATGTTTGACTAAAGCTGTAATGATTTTTATTAAGAACGAGACCACCTGTGACCTGTTGGGTCATCCTTGTTGTGTTTACTGTTTTCATTTAGTTTCATGAAGAGTTTGTGAAAGTAGAGATATTTTAAAAATACATTTATTTGCAGTTATTGAAGTTGCTTTCAACATTAAAAAAATTGTCAATTTGAAAAAAGTTGAACAATAAGAGCTTGGAATGTCAAAATTTGTATTGTTGGGATTTGATGATACAATAACATAAAATATTGTTGCGGGGCTGCACATAATTCGTCCGTTTAGAATAATCAAATGATTTTCATTAAAAGAATAAAATTCAGTAGAAAAGACAACATAGTTTCAACAAATGAACTTTAACAAGAATACAAACAGTTGGTCATAGATTGGAAAGTAATGTCTTTTTGTTTGGGTTAATAAAATTCTGAAATAAAGTATATAAATTCTCTTTGTGTACATATGTGAGAAACAATGAAATGTTATTATATGTGTGTTTGTGTGAAAAAGTTGATGTATGTGCTTAGTTCATAGTATAGAGGATACAAAGAATTTGTTTCTTACTGTGGATGGTGTTGCCGCAGTCTGAAGCGGTCTCTTTGAAGTTTGTCAGCGCTGTCACTTTTAGCATGATGTTGTGAAGTTCACAAGCAAGAGTGGCATGGACCTTGATGACAGCTGTGTATATCCTGTTTGGGGCCAGATTTTGTGTTTTTTCTACACTTTCTCATAAGAAAATCGGCTCCATCCCCCACTTCCTACACAATCTTTCTTTTCCCAACTCTCTATATATTATTTCTGGCAAACATACAAGATACAAAGTTCACAGTGACTTTCATCCCAGTTAAGGAATGAAAGTAGCTGAGTTAATGGCAAAGTATTGTAGGTGGGTCTTTGGCTAGATTTTTTACTCTAAGTACAAAATGTTCTATTTCATTTGGAGCTTAATTTAAGGAGCTGTTCGTTAGAGGTGCTACTTGGCAAGTTTGTTCATAGAAGTCTTTTCACTAAAAAGCGACATTATAAAGCCTTTAATTCCAAGCAGCTATATATATGAACACATTTAGAACTGCTCTCAAGCCATGCTTTGTTAAAATTAAGAAGCCTCAATTTCTTGAATGGAACCACCTCTTAACTGCTGGTGTTCCCAGGTCCATCCTGACCTAGAGTGGTAGCACCTGTTAGGGTCTCAGCTATGGGTAAATAGTTAACCCCCAAGTTGAGGTCAAAACACTATGAAAATGTAAAAAATAGGTTTTAATACCAGAATACTTTGTAAAAATTATTACCAGCAATACATTATTAACAGCAATACAATTTTGAAAACAAAATATTAACAGCAATACAATTTTGAAAACAAAATATTACCAGCAATACAATTTTGAAAACAAAATATTACCAGCAATACAATTTTGAAAACAAAATATTAACAGCAATACATTTTTTTGAAAAAAAAAAAAAAAATTACCTGCAATAAAAATTTTGTCTGCATTAAATAACCCATTGAGGTTGATATTCCGTAAAGCAAACCAAACAAAGTTCACAGAGTTTTATATGGTAATAAGATGGTAATTTCATCTTACATTATTCACTGGAATTAAATCTTCTGTTTTCTTTTATTTAATGTCTTTTGATAAAATCTTGTTTGTAATTTATTATTCTGTTTCCTTTTTTCTAAAATTGTCTTTTTCTTCTTTTTTTTCTTTTTTGTCTTCTGTTGGATTAACATTCCAGTTTTCTGAATATTTATCTCTTTCTGGAACCTACATCTTGTCACTCTTTGCTGAAAATGGCATCAGCCAACAGACAGCCTCCCTGACCATTGTCATTGTATGTCCAGTTGTGGACATTGTACTTGACACAACCTATGGGGTTGACAACCATCCTGTAGAAATCTCGGTGCAGGTACATGGAGGAGATGACATTGGACTAAATGTGACATTTGGAGATGGAAGCAGCCAACACTTGACTTCTGACCAGCTCCAACAACTTCCTGACTATTTTCTTCACCCTTTTCACACTGACCAAGGCCTGCCCTTGCATCACATCATCTTGAAGCACCTTTACTCTACTCCAGGTTCTTATCCTCTACAAATCACTGTGTCCAACAGTATGTCCTTGATAATGCGTAATTCTACTATTGTGGTAGAGGAGGCCATCACAGGACTCACTCTTGTGAGCAATTCTTCCAGGATCATGTCGATTGATGATACAGTCACCATTAGTTCCAGTGTGAAGACTGGACGGAATATTTCATTTGAATGGAAGTGTTACCCATCACATGCTTTCATGGATGTGGTCAGGTAAGTCTTGACTTAGAATTTCTTTGCATAAGCCAGTGGTTCCCAAATGGTGTAGTACACCACATAGATATGGCAGAAGAGGTTAGCAGGTGAGGTGGAATGATTGAAAGACAATCAAAGATTTAGAAACAGTTTCAAAAAATTCATATGCCAAAAATAAATATTATTTCAAAATTTAAAATATGATTAGGGATTACTTGTAGCTTCATGCATGAGTCCTAGTGTAAATGTTTATAAATAATTTTTGACCGATTTTATCATTGTGATATTTTTGCATTATATCAAGTATTAAGAATATAGGGTCTGCAAATTGGAGGAGAGAGTTATCAATGATAATCTTCTGACTTCGAATCCATGGTCATCTCCCCATGACCCTCTCTTTGGACCTTCTTTGCCTTAGGGCTGCTTGTGCATTTTCAATTCTGACAAATAATAAAAACAAAAAAGGGAAAGTCTTCTTTGTGTTTGACGAGGAGATAAGAGCTTATCTCTAATTAGGCTTAATATAAAGGAGATTACTTGTCACAAACAAGTTCATGCCTTTCATTAAATTTGTGTACTTTAATCATATTATAAGTTATTTGTGTTATATATTATATTTAATGCACTATTAATGATTGTTTCTTACTTTTAAATGTAATTTTTATCGCATAAAATTTGGTGAGGTACAAGCAAATTTTCATTCTGAAAATGTGGCCAAGAGAAAAGTTTGGGAACCACTGGCATAAACCGTTGTTCATGTTTTTACTAAATTTTACTTGATAGAAAGCTCAAGAGCCACACAAGGTAGAGATTTACAGTCAAAATGGTAATGATGAATAGAAGAGAATGTGGTCAAGTAAATCTTTTCTTTGCAGAAATCATTGTTAATTTTTTATTCTATGGATTCTTGGATAGAAATTTATTCTTGTTAAATTGCAATTGTAAACAAAAACAAACTTTGCTACCTTGATAAATAATACTTGACTATATTGAGTAGATTAGCATTGATTGATATCAATGCTAATGTTCACTATAACATGAGTTGACAATCATGCATCCCATAAACCATTGTGGTTTGTATAGTCATCCCATGTACTGCAGTCATAGCAAGACATCTTGACAGAACCTGATCCTCTCTAGGCTGGTTTGAATCCAGAGTTTTCCTTTTCTTAGACTGGTTGCCAACCAAGGCTATAGGACTCAGTCTGCCCCTAGCTGAGGGGAGAAGCTTTCATAGCTTTCCTGAAGGCATTTGCATGTAAGTGAAAGTAATGAATTCAGCTAGAATTAAATGTCGTATTATGGTACATGTTAGAATTGGATGGAGAAGGATGGATTCTTGTGTTGATTGTACCAATTTCTAGAATGAACGGGTCATGAGTTGAATTAGCTAGGAGATAAGATAGACAGTGTTGACCAGCCTTGTACCACAGATATATGTATTCAGGTGTTAAATAAGTGAATTCAAATTTGACTATCTAATTTCTCATTCCAAGCTGTGATCCATTTAACCAGTTACATCCAAGTTTTTATCCTTCAAAGACAGAGACTTGAACTAGTTTTAAATAAGAATTTATTCTTTTATCCTCACAAATATGAAAGAGAAAAGAAATAGAAATGGGTTTTTCTATCCCAGTAATGCATGGGGATGTTAATGGGATATTAATAAAAAATCTACAAGTACTCTTGACATTTTTGATATTTTAATTTTCTGATGAATCAAAATTCTTCAGCCATTATCTCTCTGTATATGACTTCACTTGCTATGAAAAAAGTTTATCCTGCCACTGAAGGTGACTCTGATCCTTGAATTTGAATTTCATAGTTCTGTTGCCATATCTTGCTATGTGTTGTGGTACGATCCACCTAATTTACATAGTGGAGTACCGACCATATAAATATGGTTGGTACCGGGTAGACGGGGGAGGAAGAAGAGATCCAATCCAGAGACTCTGCCCTACTGCGACTAAGTCAACCCATTCTACAGGAGCGGTCTTCCCAAGAATATACCAAACTATCTGTAAATATTGTGTACACGTTCTTGTGTCAATACATTTTGTTTAAGTACATTTTGTGTTGTATTATTATTATTCCATGCTTATTCAAGTTTCAACACTATGTCAACAGAAAACACCTTTGAGTGAAATTAACAATAAGTTTCCTACAGTTGAGAGGCCTGGGGAAAAAGAATGCAGTGGAAAGAGAAGTAATATTAATAATGCAGAATGCTAAAGATTAAATATTGAATAAGCTCCTTGTTAGTTCCAAGACTGTAAAATGACTATGGAAATCTCCCTATTGCATCATTGAATATTTGAGCTTAACAAATTTAACTAAATATCTCAATAACAATCATAAGTATGAATGCAGGTCATTATTTAAAGAAGTAAGAGGGTACAAATGAAAAGATTGAAAACTTTTGCCACTTTACTGAAGCAGACATTAAGTGTTATCACCTTTCTTTTGTATTTTCTTTGAAATCAAATATCATTTCTGATATATCTTGTTTCATTTTTCTAATGATTAAAATATGAATAGTGCATTTTTTAAGAGGTATTGGCAAAGCATAACGTATGTGCTAACTAAGGAACAAGCAGAATTGCAATAGGATGGGTTCATTAAATGGTGTGGGTAATAAATCTAAAGTATGTGTGGAATGTAAGAATATCAACCTAGTGCATTGTGGAAAGACTGTGGAATGCAGTGAGTGGGGTGGGATCATAATTTGTAAATTTTAACTGAGATTATCAACCAGATGTTGGCCCAAATTTTTTTCCTTCAAAATAGGCAGATTCCTTTTTACTGTAATAACCTTTTGACCTTTAACAGAAGGCTAGTCACTTTTTGTTTCTTTTTCATGTTGAAGTTAATCACAACTAACTAATTCACTTGGCACTGTTTCCAAAAGTCTATGCAATTTTCTCCAAGGAACTTCCAGTAATTTTCATCAACTTAAGAGTTTCAGTGTAACCACTCTTTTCACATGGGGATTTTGATAATTTTCTATTTCTTTTTCTCTTGAATTTTTTTTTAAATGCAGCATTTTGCTTAAAATAAGAAAAATCTTATCCATTAGCTTCATTTACAGCAGAAAATAGAATATTTTCAATTGTCAAATGTATTTTGTGGCTTTACCCTCCTATCATTGATGTTCCTCAGTATGACATTACTAAAATATTGCTTCTTATCTGATGGACAAAAACATTATTTATCAATAAAACTGGTTATTAAATTTTATTTTTGTCACTTGATGATTTATTTATTATAATTTAATTTTTATAAGGAAATAATGTGATTGAGATTTCTGTAAAATCTCACTATGAATAACCACTAACGTATTTATAATGTGTGTGTGTGTGTATATATATATAATATCTCATTCACACAGAGTATTGTTTTGTTGTATCACAGCTCCTGAATACGACTAGACACCCAAATGCCTCAAGCTAGGCTCAAAACCCAGCTGATTTGGTGTCAGTCAGAGCTTCTACCACTGAGCTATCTTCACTTGGCATATATATATATATATATATATATATATATATATATATATATATATATATATATATATATATATATATATATATATATATATATATATATAAATACAAGAGGATAGAATCCAGGTAGAACTCAATGTCCAGGACAGAGTAAGGATATAATAAAAGCTTAAATACTAATATCCCGTGGTCATAATTTGTTCCATTGGAATCGTAAATATGATCCAATTCATCAGACCTACAAATTCAAAAAGAAAACAAAAAAAACAACTCCGGGAATAAAAAAGTAAAATTTAGTGTGAGTGTATGTATGAGAGTGTAGGACGAATGTTAGAGTAAATGAAAGCTATAGGGAGGGGTAACAGATGAGAGAAGAACAGGAAGGTCGAAAGTGAAGGGGGGATTAAAATTTAACAGAAAAGTTTTAAAGAGGGGCGTCAAAGACGGCTTAAGTGAGAGAAATATGAATATACTTAGATGTCTAATACATTAAGGATACATTTTGTGGTGACATACACACGAGAGATGATTTAAACTTAAAGATTTTTGAATTTGTTGGTCTGATGAATTGGATCGTATTTACGATTCCAATGGAATAAATTATGATCATGGAATATTAGTGTTTAAGCCTTTTATTTATATATATATATATAGCTGAAATGTTCTTGCTTGGGTTCCTTCAAAAATATGACTAAACACCAGAATTTATCTTAGAGGGGCTTCTCTGTTACAACAAGAATTTTTCATCACTTTCTCATATAATTAAATTATGGAACTGGTATACACCAGCCACAACACTGGTCAGTATAATAACAGTTATCTATCTATGATATATATATATATATATATATATATATATATATATATATATATATAGTGTGTGTGTATTAATACAACTAAAAGGTTTGTCACTTAGCTGATTGATGTTACGTTCAGCATCCCAAATCCAGATTTTTGTAGACAAACTCATTTGACTACTTGTTGTGTTGTGTGGTGGGGTATCAGCAATTGACTGCTTATACTTCTTGATTATTCTTTTTTTTTATGCATATAAAAAAGAATAATTTGTTTCTTAGCTGACATATTTCATCCCCTGAAGGCAAATGACTTGATAAAGTCTCTGAGAAAAAAAACATGTCAGCTAAGAACAGTTTTCCCTCTTGTCTTTTTTGTTCATTTTGTTCCTTCACAGATACACTATATCTGAAAATTATTTACACTCATATATATATATATATATATATATATATATGAGAGAGTATTTTCTTTTTCATTGATTAACAAAGGATTTCAATGAAGTTTATGATATACATAGTTCTTGATGCTAGAAAAGTTTGATCTACACGGAAAGTATATAAAAAAATCTCTAATCTCAATAACAATTAGAGTGAGCAGAAATTTTGGGATAGATAATGTGGAAAGAAAACATGGAGAATTTAATGCTAACAAGACACATGAGGACAAGGAAATCAGTGGAAGGTATTAACTTACCCCACAAATTTTTGCAAGACAACTGTCTGGAAGGTACACGGATGTGTGAACCTGGCTCTGTCAAAAATTCATTGCTATAAAAATACAGCAGTGTCATACCATGTGTTTGCAACCCTCTCTAACGAGGTGTCTACAGGAATATATATATATATATATATGTGTGTGTATTGATGTAATAGGAAAGAACAATTAGATTAATGATCCAAAGTTCTTTAGTATTTGTTTTATTTTTTTAAAAAAAAAAGCAGTGCTTGATGCAGAAGAGCTTAAAATTATAATTATTTTTTTTTTACAAATATGATTCCATCGCAACACAGAAATTACTATGTTTCAAAACTGAAACTAAAGTCCTAAAATTTAATTTCAATATTAAACTTAAAATTTTGATATTGAAATTAAACTTTAGGGTTTGAGTTTGTTTTGAAAGATAGTAATTTCTGTGTTGCAATGGAATCATATTTTTTAAAAAATAATATATAATCTTTTACAGGGATAAATTATTAAACATTCATATGCAAATTTTACTTCAGGCTTGCTTTTAAAAGAATTTTATGTCAAAAAACAAAGAAATTATTTTGACTATTCATTGTTAATCCATCAATAGAAAATAAATTTCTATCATTAATAGTTGGACCAAAAAACTGCAATAGGGAGAATTCTTGTCATCTACAGTTAAATGTTAAATATAGTTAGAATTTAAATATATCAAATATTAATAATAATAGATATAATAGTAACAATGAAGAATGTATTAACCCAGAGTGTTGGGATAAAAAGCAACAATTATAAAATAGAATAAAACTAGTAATAAAATAATAGTATAATGAGAAATGTCTTGACCCAAAGTGTTTGGATAAAAAGCAACAATAATAAGACAGAATAAACCTTGTAATAAAATACAGTGTAACCCGGATATAAGAGAAACCCGGATATAAGAGAGATTTTATCTGGTCCCAAATTAGAGCCTGTGTTAATTTATATAAAATAGACCAAACCCCGATATAAGAGAAACCCGGATATAAGAGACTTCTTCTCCGGTCTCGACAACTCTCTTATATCCTGGTTACACTGTAATAGTAATCATGAGAAATGTCTTTGCCCAAAGTGTTGGCATGAAAAGTAACAATAATAAAATGGAATAAACCTTGTAATAAAATAATAGTAATAATGAAGAGTCTGTTGAACCAGTGTTGGGATAAAATGCAATAATAAGATGGAATAAAATTAGTAATAACAAACTTTTATATAATATTAATACTAGTCTTATTTTCTTCATTTATCTTTTCAGCTTTGAGAGGAGCAGCAAATTGACTGTCACATTCAATGTTATGGGAATAGAATATGAAATTTGGGTTTTGGTTTCTAATCCATGGATGAAAGAACCACTGAAGAAATTGATGCACTTTGCACCTGTGAAACGTATTGAAAGTGTGTTTTTGAAGCCAATGAACAACGTATATTGTGCTGCTTCTCTCAACATGCCAGACGCTAGTGAAAACCATGTCTTGTTTCAGGCAACGTATGTATTTGGAATCGTTTATATCTATTTGTTGGTGTTTCTTCTGATAAATTTTCATTTTTATAAAACTAAACATTTTTCCAAAATGACAAACATCTGTAAATCATACGTTTACTCTGAAATTATAACATTACATACATACACATATATATATATATATATATATATATATATATAAAATGTACTTAAATACATGAAATTGCATACAAAGCATTTACATTTGGGCATTAAATAACCCATAGTGGTGTTGACATGCCGCTAAACAAGCAAACCAAATTTAATTTTAGGAAACTCTAGAGAGAAAAAATATGATTAGCTACAGTTGTATGTATCTCTCTCTCTCTCTCTCTATATATATATATATATATATATATATATATATATATGGTGGCATGGGTAAATTGTCACTATTTTATATTTTCAATTTTGCACATTGTTTGTTTTTGATTTTGTTGATTGCACAGTATAGTAGGGTCAGTTGGGCCACTGTCTGTAAGAAAAGAGCACCATGACACAATTACTCCACCAGAAATTTGGAAGTGGCATGCTGTACTGCTTGGCATTCACACCGGAAGCTCCAATACAAACATTTCAGAGTGTTTGCGTGTCAATCTGAGGACAGTGCAGAGGATTCAGAAAGAGTTGGATGATATATCCAGTCAACCTCATTGTGTTTGGAGTAATCATTCGTGATGGCAACATTATGGCTCTATTCATCTTCCCACAGGACTGCAGACTCAACACAGAGCCTTGAGGAAATAGTGATGTCCTGGGTCAAGAGGGTGTCTGCTAGAAGACCCTATGTCTGACAAAAGGACTCAACACCATGCCACATAAACAGGAAAACCCAGTCATGGCTGTAAGACAATCTCCACACTCACATTACCCCTTACATCTGGTCATCTAACTCCCCAGACTGCAACCCCCTTGATTATTATTTGTATGGCACAGTTGAGTGAGGGACCAACAAAACTACTTTTGACACTGTTGTGGCCTGTTTGTTTTTATGACAATGGCTAATTGTGTAAATATGTTTAGAAATTCAGATGATCAAAAATTGGTTTTGTGAGAGAGCAAAATACAATAATAATTAATGGAAAAATATTTAAAGATTCAGATGTGAAAGCCCAACCTGATACAAATAAGCTGCCATTTTTTAGTGACATTGTAAACCTGTCTGCGCCTTTGCTTGCACCTTTGTTTGCATCTTTATTTGCATGCTTGTTTTTTGTTAAACGAGAAAAAAAACCTGACAAAGCCTTTAATTGCTATCTTGTCATTTTTCAGATCCTCTGGTACTAATGTCACATATGAATTTGACTATGGTGATGGCAGCCCTGTAGACCACGTAAATGGAAAGTCTTCTGAAATTGGTCCTTATGATGAAGCCACCTCAAGGCATATCTTCAGACAGGGTAAGAACATGATCATGTTTCTTCAAATTTTCTTACTCTTCACAGACATTACCATTATTTGTACTTGCCATGGCATCCATCCAGTCAGTTGAGCTAGCTTTATCAAACAAATCTAAACTCATTTTTAAAATGATAAACATATAGTATATATTATATATTAGTTAAAACTTAGTACTTATTAATGTGCTCTGTAACAAAATACATATATTTGATGTCAATCCTACACCTGATACACCATCTTCCCCTAATTGTACTTAATTTTATCTTAAGTTATTTTTCCTTCTATTTTTCATTCCTATTTCCTTATATGCAACGCCTTTGCCTAATCTCTGTAATTTTATTTATTTTGTTCCTGCTTAGGATTGGGTTTCCAGTTCCTTTTAAAGTCTACTTCAACTGTATACTTCTAATGGCTCCACCAAAACTAATTTTTTTAATTCTTAATAGATAGGTTTGCGTATCATCTGGTTCACACTCCTTCCTAGTCTTTTTAACAGGAGCAGAGGTTTATCGCTTGTTCCCTGTTTAGGATTGGGTTTCTAGTTCATTCTAAAGTATATTTCAACTCTGTACTTCTGAATTCCTGCATAGGATTGGGTTTCCGGTTCCTTCTAAAATATGTTTCACCTCTAAATTTTATTCGCTATTTTTTTTCCCTCCTCAATAGGAGTAGATATTTTCAACTATCATCCGGTTCACACTCCTCCACAGTCTTTGAAACTGGAGCAAAGGTTTATCTGTTGTTCCCTGTTTAGGATTGGGTTTCTGGTTCCTTATAAAGTATTTTCATTTCCTTATGTTTTCCTAATCACTACCGTCTTGACCCTTTATTATTCCTGTATATCCCCATGAACTTACTTTTTGACCTTTCTTATGCTCATATAACAGAACACAGTAACCCCCTCCCTTATGTGGCTCTCAGGCCTGGAATTTGGGTGAACATTATTAAAAATCATATTAATAAACATTTTATCCACATGACAAAATGATTAGAGTTACAGCATTCTGACCATGAGGCTCAAGTTTGAATCTCACTATAGACAGTTTATCAAGGAAATAACTTGATAATAGCAGCTTGACAAGACAATCCCTTACACATGGTGAAATGTTTGAAAATCCTACAACAGGTTGACCCAAGCTTTGTGATTGAAATTGGGTACATGAAACTGTTTAGAAGTTTGTATGAGTGTAAAGTCTCATCCTCGCACAATAAGCATGTAGAATCTCTTTAGCTTTGTTTCACCATCTAGAGATGGTGATTTTGATAAAAGCACCTATCATCCAACAGCATGGTCACTGAAGGAATACACTGGTTTGAAAAGTACAGGATAACTGAAAATATTTAGAAAAAAGCAATTTCACATGATCTTTCAATCTGCAACAAGCGAAAAGTGTAACATCTCTGTATTGTATTAAATATTAAGAGTGGGTAGATGAAACTAGAGGCCGTTGATGGTTGTGCTAGCAAGAAGTCATGAGTCCACACCTAATGGGCAGATAGGAACTCTTTAGCCTTGATTGGTGACCTATTGAGAGATTGTACTTTCATAAAAGCACCCATCCCCCAACAGTGTGTAGATGGGTAGATGAAACTGTTTGGAGGCCATTGATGTTTGTGCTAGCAAGAAGTCACTAGTCCACATTTGTATAGTATTTGTGAAGAAGAAGAGAATTTTCTATCTCATAAATACAACCAGAAATTCATTATTTTTGCTCTATCCATCAGAATGATAAGACATTTCTTTTCCAGCTCACTCCACCTTTTCCTGTTCTATATGAAATTGGCTTTAATTTTGTTATCTTATTTTCCAGAGGGTGTCTACACAATAAAAGTAACAGCCACAAATTACCTTGGCAACATGACCACCACAATGGCAAAGCCATTCTGTGTACAGTGTCCCCCAAGAAACCTGCATATTGAAAGTAAAGATCATTACAAATTTGGGGATAATATAACATTCAAGGCAATCCTAAACTCTGGGACAAATGTTTCTTTTGATTGGAATTTTGGTGACCAAAATCAACTAATTAATGCAGGTGAGTTATTCTCATTTTATTTGTATTTGCATGTTTCATGTTTTACTGGTAGTGTTTTTCAGTTTGATTTGTATGACACATTTTTTATGGCTTATCAACACTTTACAGGTTTTTAAAGCCAGAAAATATTTTTAGATTGTATGAATTCTTATTTTTAATGATTTAGTGATACAAGTCTACTAATTAACCAATAGTTGGGGAAGCAGTGGTTTCATACCTTTCTTAAGCTGTGAAATTGAATATAATCAACCCAATCAGAATTGGAACTTGGCTTTCTTATTAAGAATTCCAAGATAGTATCTATTATCATACCACCTGCACAGCACCTGTTATTCCAAAGCAGACACCAGGCTCAACGTTGCTTAATTTTGGTGATTGTACAGGAACCAGTATTTCAACGTAACATGGTTGTAAACACTTAAAACCTTGAATTTTTAAAACAAATTTTGTTGCACTTTTAGAAAAGACACTATGGTAAATGTGGCATCAAATCTGAAGGCATATTGGGATGACAAAAAGTGCCTTCCAAAAGCTAAGCAAAGAATTAAGAAACAGGAAAACTTCACAAAGAAAAGAGTACAGTTTAAGAAGAGACTTGAGGCAACAGAAAATAGATCGACAGAAGGATGCTGAGAATACCATGAACTGAACATCTGATCAATGACTAAGTTTTAGAGAAAACGGAAACAAAAATATATGCAGAAATATACAGTATTTATCGATGAAAAGTTGAGTTTTGATTATGCAATAAATGAATAAAAAATTTTACGTGTATTTATTTATATTAATTATTTCAGGTACAAGTGTTACCCATCGTTATCTCACAACTGGGCGTAAGAAAGTCACCTTGACTGCCAGAAACAAAGTTGGTGTTATCAAACGTTTTACTGATGTCTTTGGATTCCATGAAATTACAGGTACAGTTTTTGAACATTTTCTCAAGAAATATATCCAAACAAAAAACATGCTTATGTTTTATAACCTGTAAAAGGTTCCTGTCTAAGTTTCTTGGATGAGGAGTTACTATTATTTACATTCAGACTATTGTCCTCATCTTTGTTGTTGTTATCACAACATTTTAACTGTTGTGTCTTCTGCATTCCATAAAAAAATTAGGACAGTATTCAAAAGCAGTAAAATCTAACACAGGAGAGAACATAACCAAGAATTGCATGTACTCAATTCCTTGCAGTTGTGGTAGAGAATATAAAAGTGAAACAAACCATCCCCTGAAGGTAAGGCTGGAGGAAAACCAAAAAGCCTTAGTGATGTGTGAAACAATGAAATTGGGCACAGCTGATCATGTATGGAGGGAAAGGTGTAGTCATCAGACACTGTGAAATGAAGTGAAAACACTGGATGAGTAAGAACCCTGGAGAGTCAGGCCTCTGAAATAATCAGTGCTTTTGCTAGGCTATAAGGACCTCCTTAGTAGGCCTAGCATAGAAATAAATAAAATATAGGAGCCACTAATAAAGAAAGATAGACAAATGGCAATAAATCTTCAGCAGCAATCAAAACAATGCTGCATTAATCAATAGACAGACTAGGTTTAAGGCTCCAAGTTCACTACATCAAATTGGGACAATTACCTAATAGATTAAAGTATTGGTTCATGAATTTGGTGGTTGGGAGTTCAATCCCTAGGTTGGGCACTGTGTACTTGGTGTGTGATAACTGAGCAGTACTATTATAAGACATGGGCAGTAGAACGACAAGTCTATTCTTGTAGATTAAATAAAGGGTTCTGTTCAGATTTCCCTGTAGGTTACCCAGATCAATATACACTTCGAGGAAGGCTGAAGGGCACAATGGCATAGTTATTAGCTTGGAAAGTAAAATTGGCAATCCAAGTTCCAATTATGGTAGAGTTCATTGGATTCACTTTTGTGCAAATGCTATTGCAAAAGGCATCTCTTCTCCCGCTAACTATGAGTTAAATAACAAGGTAGACTTGACTTTCAAACTTTGGGTGATAACTAATCTAAGGGAAGGCAAACTGTGAAACCACACTACTAACTTCGCCAAAAATCATGAAGGCACATGACATTTTGTAGAATCAATGCAATACTCACCTTTGCAGGAAGGTTCCAAACTAGTGTCCAGTTGGCAGACCGGAGTGAGAAAGCTGTAATTCAACACATCTCTGTACTCAAGCAAACATAATAGTGAATGCTGTATATTTATCTATCACAATATCCACACTAGAACCAGCAACCAACCAGGACTCAGAGAATGGGATTGCCTAAGTGGCAGAATAGAACATTCCAACTTGCGACATATACAAACTGTTCTAACCTCTGGGACCGGAGTGCTTACAATACATCTAAGGGATGGGGGAACGGAAAATGTTTGGATATTGGTGTTAACCTACCTTAAATTTGTGTGTGTGTGTGTATATATATATATATATATATATATATATATATATATATATATATATTTGTGTGTGTGCTTGAATCAGATGTCTAGCCACACTGAGGAGCTGTGAAACAGTCTGTCTGTGGATGACATTACACATGCACACACACATATATATATATATATATATATATATATATATATATATATATATATATATATATATATATATATATATAAAATTTCAAGAGGATAGAATCCAGGTAGAATTCAATGTCCAGGACAGAGTAAGAATATATAGGATTGCCTAAGTGGCAGAATAGAACATTCCAACTTGTTACATACACCAGCTGTTTTGACCTCTGGAATCAGAGAGCTTACAATACAGATAAGCACCAATCTTGTTATTCAATACTTAAAAAAAAAAAATCAGGCCTACAGCTTCAAAATGTTAGTGATCAGCTTCCTATTTATAGTACCAATGAATTGAATGCATTTAAATATTTGTGTACATTTTTTGTTTTTTATGAAAAAGAAAATTCTCTCATAGCTTGGCAAATATGGGTAAGCCTTGAGTACACAATTTTACAACATCATATTTGAAAAGATTATACTAGATGTTATCATCATAATTATTAATACACACATGCACATATCTCCTTTTATACACTGCATCACTACAGGATATAATGGCTCTTCACAATTTGCTATCTTTTGTATAACTAAGCAATGTTTGTCCCCTTACTGTCCTTGCCATCCTTTTTCTGCCTTTCATTTACACAAACTCCTTAGATATTTTTCTACATACAATATGTAAAAGCATGCATGATACCCTGCTCTCATCAGTCGCCAACCAAGGGAGGTAACACAATTTTAGTGGTTAAGGTGGTACTACCACCTCTGGCACCACCAGCAGCTTTTACCACCAGACAGGGTATTGTTTTTTTGAGTAGTTAGTCTCTTGTCTTTTTTTTTTTTTATGTAACTGCAAGTCAGATTTTCAACGTTGTGTTAAGTGTTTGCTTTTGATTGTTAACCAATACACAATGCACTCATAGCAACCATTATCAATAATGCAGAATGGTAGATAAATGTTTCATGTTAGAAGTAGCATTAACTTTGTTTATTTTGGGTCTTGACCAGATTCAACTAAATTCTTGAGTCAGTCAATTAGATAAGTCAATTGAACTGTTATTGATTTATTATTGATTCATTGAGTAGAAATTAGAAATATATAATTTCATAAGAAAATAAATTACCTTTGTAATCCTTCTATGTGCTATATCTCTTCAGGACATTAATTATCATGGCTTTCCACAATTTTGTGTCCTTTGTAACTCTTAGTAAATTTTGTCTAAATATATACTATCTCTCCTAATCTATTCTGCCAACCAATTACACAAGTTCATTATGTGATGCTTTCTCCTGTTTCTGTTGCTTTCAATCTGTCCTGTGAGTATCAAATTTTCCAAGCCCTCTTTTCTCATATATCCCTAGAAATTTCAACTCTCTCTTTCTGTTGTTAGGTAGTGATTTTCTAAGTGCTACTTAGATGTGGCACAAGGCTGAAAGTGTGGAGTACCCAGTGAGGATCGAACTCTACTCGGTCGTAATTGTTCTAGCCAGACAAGCTTGCTAACCATTACACCATGCCGAGGTCCCCAAAATGATTTTCTAAGCACCCAGTGAGGATTGAACTCACTATTCAGTTGTAAGAGTTTTAGCAGTTTTAAACATTACACCACGCCAAGGTGCCCTCTTTCTGTTGTTGGGTATAAATGTTCTTTTTGTTTCCATTTTCTTTAAAAAGAAAAAACAAACTTTGTTGTTGCTCAGATGTTCTGTCCATAGTATTCTCATCATCCTTCTGTAGAACCACACTTCTGTTGCTTCAATTTTCTTCTTCATCTCTGAGAAGATTGTCCAGCATTCACTGCCATATAGGAGAAATGATATTACATAACAGTTCAGTACTATTTTCTTTGTTTCTAACTAGATGTTTATCTTTCTTAATACTTTGTTTAGCTTTTGGAAGGCATCTTTCACTGTCTCAATGCACATTCAGATTTCAGTGTTACACTTTTCATCCTCCATTAAAACACTTTCTAGATATTTAAATTTTTTCTACTTGCTTGATTTTAGCATCTCCAATTTGTAATTCACATGTTGGGCTGTTCCTTTTGATAACAACCATAGATTCTATCTTCTTACAATTGATGTTTAGTCCTTTCTAGATTGTTGCCTTTGTAGTTAAAGACTAAGTTTATGAAGACATTTGTCATGATATACTGTATTTTTTTTTTAATTAGAGGCATTTTTATAAGGGCTTTTTTTTTTTTTTTTTTTTTTTCTGTTGACACTACTTGGGAACAGATTTAAGCTATCTATATTCAGCTCCTTGTTTGTAATGTTAAATAATAGTTTGAGACTTATTTTTTAGTGGCAGTGTATTTTGGCTCAGACCTTCTGAGGCTGACCTTTGAGGTCAAATGGTAGACTAAATAGGGATGTCGATTTTGACTGAGACGAACATGGGAATGTTAGTGAGATAGTGATTTTTGGGAGATTTAGAAGTCATACACAGTAGATGTGGTTATTTCATGTCTCAGGGAACTTGCTCCCCCAGTGAGGGTGATAGAGCGACCTCACTGATGAGTTAGAAAAGTACACATCGACGTGTTTAATAAAATAGATACGTTTAAAAATCCCTTTTGTTGAAGCTCTCATTTTACCTTAAAACCAACTAGCAGACTGAGAGAAGAAAGAGGAAGACAACTTTATTATGATCTCCTCAAGAGCATCAACTAAGAGATCCCCCAGAACGAGGGGGCTATACAACATTTTGCTTAATTGGTACAGTGGCTAAGACTTCTCAAAAAGAGAAGACGTATGCAACTGTAAGACAAGTATACTGGGAATAGCATAATATTGTTTATTTTGTCCAATTAAATTCTCTCACATGTTCTGACAAATATATAAGTTCTGATGATAACAATTACATATTAATATCTTTAAAAAGTTAATGATTATCACAGTGTTACTTCCAAGAGATTCTGACAAATTCATTAATGCTTACTTTAAAATCAGGTATTAATTATGGGTTTATAAAAAAATCTGATTAAGAGATTATAAAAAATTTACTAAAGGTATTAACAAAATATTTGTTTGAAAGGTTTACAATGAAAACCTTGTCTGAAAGGTTTACGATGAAAACCTTGTCTGAAAGGTTTACGATGAAAACCTTGTCTGAAAGGTTTACGATGAAAACCTTGTCTGAAAGGTTTACGATGAAAACCTTGTCTGAAAGGTTTACGATGAAAACCTTGTCTGAAAGGTTTACGATGAAAACCTTGTCTGAAAGGTTTACGATGAAAACCTTGTCTGAAAGGTTTACGATGAAAACCTTGTCTGAAAGGTTCCTGAAATATATCCCATATTAACAGTTTATAATGAAGCACTTGTAGAAAGGTTTGTAATGAAAACTCTCATATCAAAGGCTTGTAATGAAACCCTTATATGAAATGTTTACAATAAAAGCCTTTTTTAAACAGTTTCTGAAATATCTCATATTAACTGTTTCTACTTATTTTCCATACATGTCCACAATTCTATAAATAGACTGTTTGGCATTAAATGTTTAGTAATGAGATCTGCTAATACTCATGCAACAAAAATAAGATGAAAAACTACTCATCAAAAATTAATCATACATTGTCTTTATTTTTTTCAACTGTTTAATCAAACTTTAACAGTATGTTAATTATTTTCAAAAAATTAATTTTAAAAATATTGAGAAATACATTATGTAATGAAATTGTCTGTATTTTGTATTTCTTAAAACTTTGTTTCCATGTCTCACAGGTGTAACATTGAAGGATTCTGGTAATTTGCATAAAATTGCCGTCCGAGAATCTGTAAGGTTCATTGCTCAGATTTTGCCTGATATTCCTCACACGTTCAAGTACCTCTGCTGGGATTTCGGTTTTGATGATTCAGAGAAGATGCATACAGATTTCTACATTGACACTGTTTACAAGTCTGTTGGCAAGTAAGTGATTTCTTTCTTTTTTTGCAAATAAATAAATCCTAACTCTTTGCAACCTGTAGTTAGAACTAAATGATACGAATTTTAAGTTCTTCTATGTACCATATCCCTTCAGAATGTTTGCAATCATGGCTCTCTAGTTTCCTGTAATTTGTAGCTCTTAATAAATTTTGTCATTTTAAAAAATTTTTTTTTTTTTATCTCTCTTAAACTTTACTCCACTATCCATTTACTAAAGCTCTCATTTGCTTATTTATGGCATCCATATTAAAATCTCGATTGACCAGGCTATTTCAGAACATGACACCTTTTTAGATTAAGGTTTTGGTTTTGTAGCAACTTGCAGTGTTGAGCAAAGCTACTCCAAGCAGAGCCTATTTTATGTTCAATTTCCTTATCTCGTATACTAAATTTGTTGTAACTGTTCCATATACCAAATTGTTTAGTATTTATTAATTCCACATTCTATTTTTTTTTATGATGGATTCAGAGTATGTACCAACATTGCTTTCATTCTAGTTCCAGATTGTAGGTTTTCTTTTGGGAAGGTTTATCTTGTGTCCTATTTTTGGAACACTTGGTAGAGGATGTTGAATTTTTTTTTTTTTTTTTTTGATTCTGTTTCCTTTTCAGATAATTTTTTTGCTATTCCAAATCACAAGAAATATATATTATTTGGAATTATTTCTTTGGTATGATATTTTTTTAAAATATATTTTTAAAACTTATTTTCCTTTCTCTCTCTCTCTTTTTAGGTACCTGATCACTGTGGAAGCCGTAAACCCATTCAGTAAAGCCACTTCAGCACCTCTTGAAGTACATGTCTTCTCCAAGATACGCTCCCTTCAGATTTTGATTCGTTCCTCAAGATTACTGAATCAACCAATCATATTTGAAGCCTATACCTATTCAGGTTCTGATCTTGTGTATGAGTGGGATTTCGGTGACGGCTCTCCTATACAGACAGATTGCATCGTCTATCACACCTACAACAAGTAAGTTTTAGAGAACATGAGAAATTTGTTAACTTTTGTCATATAATATTTTTGGTGATGTAACCTCTTTTATTGTTCACTAAATTTGCTTTTCATCAATCCTGTCTTCTGAAAGGAAAATTCCAAAGACTTTTGACTCCTAAAAGTTAAATCACTCCTCTTTTATTGTCTACCTAACTGTTTTAGGTATGTTGCCATAAAAGCCATTATTTGATTCTTAGCTAACCGCTGTACCACCATAATTACATGGTACAAAATAAATGAAAATATTTAAACCTAGTGAATTGCTTTAATTACAGGAATTTTCATTTATGGCATTTTATTGTTTGCAAAAATCAGTGATTGCAGGATAAAGGAAACATGACCCATGAAATGCTGGGTATCATTGCTTGTGTGTGTATATATATATATATATATATATATATATATATATATATATACACACACACACACACACACACACACAATAAAATTCTATATAAATCACATTGCTGGAAACATCTCACTATTAGAGAGGCCCTGTATAATAAACATCTCTCTCCTATTATCAATCTCACCTTATTTAACAGTGGAAATGGAGTCTTACTCCTACCAGAAAAGCATAAGGATGCTGGAAAAACTAAATAAAAGAATTAAATCTTCCTTATCTGGCATATTTAATTTCAGCATTTAAAGTTGTGCAATGAATGTAAGGTATTTTGTACATTCCCTTATATATATATATATATATATAAAATCAGATAAAGAACAAATAGGAAACATTTATAAATCTAACAATTCACTTTTATTAAAGCTTCAAGAATGAAATATGGAGAAAAAGAAAGTCTGGTATTTTTATTTTTGTGTTTGATTTTCATTAAGCAAACTTCACATGTATTTGACTTGTCAAGCTGTATTTGTATGGCAGATATGTATACAAATATACATCATGATCCGAATCCTGCATAGACAAACTAAAATATAAACATATAAATTATATACCTGAACACATGGTGGGGCTCATATAACAAAAATGGTATCATACAGTAGGTCCAATGACTGTTTGGGTTAGGGGTTTGTTTATACTATCCCAAGTCTGTTACCATTTCTTTTCTTCCATGTCCTCATTTTTTGATTTTCTTCAAAATATCTTGAAAGATGGGATTGAGTCTTTGCAGGATTAAATGTACTGAAGAAATTCAAAATGGCATTTTGCATTGTATACCAAGACTGTCTCAATTCGATTTGCTGAAGCTCTTGAATTTCTTTCAATTTGTCAACTTTGGCTTTCAAGTTGCTTTCTTCTTCAACTTCTTTGGAAATTTCAAGCTTTTTAGTCTTAAGTTTTTTATCAGCCGATTCCATTTTTTCTGAGAGCTCCAAACAACTTGTTTAAAATTTGACTGGGTTGATTTTTTTTTTGATTTTTTTTTCATTTCCAATTCCCTTTTTTTTCTGCAAGCATCACTTCTTGAAAGTAATCTCTGCTTTCTTTCCTGATTCCTGCTGAAGTTCACCAAGATATTGTTCTAAAATCTTTTCAATTTCTAAATTAAGCTGATATGTTTGTTTTTTTTATCAAAAATGTCTAATGCAGCCATAAAAATCCCTGTTGAAGATGTTCTATAAAGTTTTTTGTTGAGCTTTAGCAATTTCCTCATTTTTTTTCTTTTCAAGATCTTTTGATGCTGGAGATTCTTTTGCTCAACTTGTTTCACTCAATGTATTTCTCACTCCAATTTTTTTAGTTTCTGGTCATATTTTTCTCTGAGCCATCTTTTGTAAATTGTCATATTGCTGCTTAATCTTCAAGACAGACAATTTCAAATCGTCATCTTTTTTTTTTTTTTTTTTATATCTGTCATCAGATTAGCAAATTTTCCTGCTTCTTTTTTTCTGTCCTTTTTTCCTATTTATGTAAAGCAGAGAGTTTATGTTCAGCCTCTAATATCACTTTTAAATAGGTTTTCCTTAATTTTATTTTTGTATTGTTCATAAGAAGTGATACTGTGTCTTTTTCCTTCACATTTAATGAAGCTTTTGTCTTGCTGCACATACAAATTTCTCCTGAAAATAATTTTTTGTCATCATGCTTCATTTTATTTTTATAATACCCAGCATGTTTAGCAAGAAGTTTCACTGACTCACAAATAGAATTAATAGATTCATCCCATAAATCAAATATTTGTAACCAGTGACCCCTGTCCTAATAAATTTAATGACTTTCCTTGAACAACATGGGCATAAACTTTAGTGGTTTTTTTTCAGAAACAAGATTTCACAATTATACTTCTTATTTTCAATTTTGCACCGTGAAGCATCATGTGCTTCGCAATAATTTTTTTCCATTTTAGGTGAACCTATCATCCTCCAGGTCTCATAAATAGGTTTTTGGTTCATATAAACTTGCAAAAATTTCCTGTTTGGTATATTTTTCTTTTCTCCAGTAATTAATATCAATTTTACCGATTCCGTTTCTGTTCCATTTTTATTTTTCTGTTTAAATTTCCTGAAATGAAAACATTTTTGTTTTTTAAAAGGGCAATTTATTTTATAATGTCTATCTCTACATTTGTAGCAAAAGGCTTCAGTGTGTTCTTGTTGGTGGGAGTATTTGTTTTATTATAAGACTAGCAGCATGACCCGGCGTTGCCCGTGCTTGATTCAAAAATCGTATGACTCATACAGCAATCGTTATCACTTAAAATATTTTTGCCCTTTCTTGCCTTTAAAGGAGTGCCCTTTGCCGTGCTGATGTTGCTACATGCCTTACTTCTTGCCTATCTCACACTGCAAATTTTTTCTAAGCTCTATACTAAACATTAAATCTGTTACGAAAAAAAGAACTAAACAAAATCAACACAAAACGATCAGCATTAAAAAAGAACTCGTAACTGGAAAAACCGAATGAAAAAAGAATGTTAACAACAAATACTTTTCCCACCCGACCCAGTTCTGCAAAATCAGAATCAACGTTGAGTTTAAGCAAGCAAATGAGCCAATTGGAGTAACGTGCCATGCAGATTTAAATTTTTCCCACTTGTGACGAATACAGCTATCAATTTTTTTACATGCTAGTTAACATTCGTGTCAGTCAGCTGTTGGCTCTCACGCTGGCCAATAGAATCTTCCTGCCTATTCGTGTCAGTCAGCTGTTGGCTCTCACGCTGGCCAATAGAATCTTCCTGCCTATTCGTGGCAGCCAGCTATTGGCTCTCACTCTGGCCGCAACTGCATGAAAACTGCTGTAGAAGCCTGAAAAAATTGATTATTTTCGCTACTGATGGGAGTTGTGAAATGCAAAATCAGTCTTGGCCTTCCCGCTAACTTTGTGCATGTAAATTTTGGTGCAAATCTGTTGAAAATTGTGGCCCTGCATTCGTTACACACACACACACACACACACACACACACTCCTGCCTTTTATAGATAGAGATGAAGTTTGTATTCTCTGAACTTCCATTTCAGTTCCTTGCTCTTCAATCCATGCTGTGTCCTGTTTTAAATTTAATAATCTCTAGCATTCTTCAGACATCGATTGCAGATTTATTCCTGGGTCTTGTTCAAGTTTTGATAACATTTTTCTTGTTATCTCTCTGGGTGATTTCAGACCTAACACAATAATTAAACATTTAAATTGGTTTTCTTTTAGATCTCTTAACTTACAACTCTCACAGTCTCTATTTACTATTCCAGAATATGGGATAAAATGTTATTCTCTCATCTGGCCAGTCAATGCATTCTTTTTCAAAATTATTTTCAAAGTACTGGAAATGTAATTCTTTTTTCCAGGTCAGAACTAAAATCACTCACTGTATTTGCCACAATATCTGCTGTAAAGAAATCTGGACATTTTTTTTTTTCTTGAGCAGTAATTCCAGTAACTATTTGTTGTGCCAGTGTTTTCTGTTTCAGCTGTTGTTGTTGTAGATGTTGTTGCAGCTGTTCTTGTTGGAATTGTTGTTGTGAAATCAGTTCCATTTTCATGAAATTTTTTTTTGTTGTTGCTAGAGTGAGGAGTTTGTGCAATGCCACTGTTGACATAGTAGCAATAAAGAGACTGGACAATTGAGTTCACTACTACAAAACATTTAATTTATATGTTAGTACAAGCAAGGATATTGCTTGTCAATCTGGCCATGAGTTGTAGTTACTTTCTTTTAACTCTCTGGTGAGTCCATTCAACTTGCTTGCGGATACTCAACAATTTTAGCTCTAAATTCTCTTTCATAATCCTCCTTAATGACTGATGGCTCTTTTGTTGTTTCCTTATACTTTGAATTTCTCTTCCCTTGTACTCCTTTTGGGAATTTCTCTTCCCTGTACTCCTTTTGGGAATTTCTCTTCCCTGTACTCCTTTTGGGAATTTCTATTCACACTCTTCTTGACAGCTTCAACGACCCGCCTGCTATAAACTGAATGGTTTCTTCCTGCAATTGAATTTGTTGAGGTTGTTTGTTCTACTTGAAATTTTTTCCACTCATTAAAAACAGTTTTTCTATAAACATTCAACTGTTTTATGACTTCACAAATTTTCATACCAGCCATTTTCAATACCACAATTTCATGGCATTTTGTTTAAACCACCATTTTTAATTAAACTGTAAACAATAAAATAAAAGGAAGCCATATGCAAAATTTTAAAATATTTTTACAAGTAGGTACGTTTCAGTTTATGCTTAAATATTGGGGTAAATGTTTATGCTGCATCCATTTTGTGTGTGTATATATATATATATATATATATATATATATATATATATAAATAATATTCTCATCTGCAGTAACAAAAACTCTCCAGCAAAATACAAACAATACATGACCAATGTTATTTATAAATTTAGATTCCCCATATGAACTGTGTTCCTGTTGAAACCAAATTGCACAAGTCATACCATTATTCACTTGTCAAGATGGCTGACACTATATTTCTCAGACCATATCTCCAATTAGACATATTTAAGCGAACATGAAACTATGAGCTTTGATAGAGAACATTTGATACTCACATGATAGATTGA